CTATATACAGTAGTTACAGCGCGTCAGCCACAACAGGATGTAACTAAACGAGAGGGAAAAAAAATAACCCTGGCGCCTTTTTTTTTCCCAACTGTAAACTCACAACACACGACTTGATCACAACACAGCATCCATGGGCACAAGAATACCAGTTTTTATCCAACCCCGTAGAGGAGTACAGGGTTATAGGGGTAACTGGCAACACTGTGACGTGGAGGGGGAGGGTTAAGTAGATACAACTTATCGATACTCGTTCACTTTCTCTAATTACAAAGCTGATTACACCTTCTGTTATCTCCATGTCAACGTAATTTCGGTCATTGTAATATATGTGTTAATTATCTAATGTGGGGCGCGGATCAGTTGTGTTGTAGCTCGATTTGAAGCCATCTTATACATAGGGGAGAGGGGCGGGAGGGGGCATTATGAGACTGCGTATTAGGGATCCCTCTTAACCCTTCCAAGACATCGTAGCTGAGGAGATTAATGGCCACCCAGGATGATGATAATATAATTTTACCTCATAATCCTACCCTGAATCCTCCTCCTCGCCCTGGTAGTTAAGTTTTGCATAGTCATTCACAATCAGGGGTTTTAGTCACGATTTTAAGACATGTCAGTCATATAGGAGAACGCTTATCTTCCTGTGTTACCCCCAGATGGCCTACCACTGGGTACCTCACGCTGGAGATTCTTCAGTTGTGGCTTTTATTAAATATGTAGTCTTTATTTTCCTTTTTTTTTTTAGTGGATCGTTTAATTTGTCGTGTGAATTGACGATATTTAAAGTCATCATGAACCAAGAACTCTGTCAATCACACGCCGTTAACTTATTAGTCACTCGGTCCATGAGCTCTTCACCTGAGCACTGACCCCAGCCAGCCACGTGAGATCAGTTCAATGAGATACGTCCAATAGCAGCATATTGGCCCAAAGGCCTTGTGAAGCAGATCTCTCCAATAATTGGTACACTGCCTCGTAAAGGGAAGGGGAATTTCGAATTATGTGTTTCACTTTCTCTGAGAAATGTTGCCACGTGAATCTTATTTTCATGAATCAAAATAATGGTAATTACAGTCAGCAGAAATTAATCTTATACAGGGCATCGGGTTAAATGTTGCAGGGTATTTTTTATTGTCTATTTGTCTCTCCTGTAGGGAAGAACAGATTCATTTGTATCGTTTTGACATCTGTTACGAGTTGGGGATTTAGAATATAGTTAAAAGTCTACCCAGATCCCAACAGGCAACAAAAAAATAAAAAACAAAGACAATCGGACTATAAAAGGGTAGACAAAGGATGCGAGTTTTTGTTGTGTATAATAAAGTACCATAAATTCCTTAACAAAATATTCAGCTTTCTATAATTTACCCTTTACCATACTTAACCTAAACATTAACAGTATATACATATTAATACAACATACAATAATTTGAAGCAAGGTGGAGGTGGGAGGTTACATAAGATTACAAATACCTAAGTGCGGAGCTGAGATGGCTGACGAGTAAGGCTGAGTATTGTAGAAGACGGTAGGTAGTCACTGTGCCGTAGGTTTCCACGATAGGTTATCCTGTGGTCACTTCCCAGAGTAAACTGAACTCTCATCAAACTGGAGATGACGAAGAAGACTTGTAGGAGGTGACCAACAACCAGGATATGGAGAAGGGAAACCCCGGAGTGGTAACTAAGACGAGTCATACTCGGGTTTCGTCCCTAGATGGCGTTGCTCGTGGTGCTGGGTAGGTAGATCAAGACAATAGATGGCGTGGTTCGTAACACATCTTTTACCAAGTACTGTATATGGATTAAATGCATTTTATGTAAACCTAGTCTACAGTAAACTTAGTCTGTATCCACTGTAATCCTCAAATGCTTCTATGATATATTTTTACATGTTTTATCCCCCCTTGCATTTTTCTTCCACTGTGGGTCCACCTCCTCCCCGCCTCCCCTCAGGATGCTAATGCAGATAATATCTCAGAGACAAAACAACAAGACTTACCACATCACCACCTCCTCCTCGTACCTCTCACTAACCCACGCCATGCTTCCTCATACCCACGCCTCTACAACATACCCACGCCTCTGGAACAAACCCACGCCCCTATAACATACCCACGCCTCTATAACATACCCACGCCCTTGCAACGTATTCATACATTCACCCACGCCTCCACAACCCCCACAACCACGCTACACGCAAAACCAAATCTCACTTCCACTCTAAAGACAAGAACAAAATCCCACTGATATTTCAACCTTCTTTCATACCCACTTAGGTGAGTGTTGAGTTTGGGTAGTTTAACCCTTGTGCCCTAGATATATGGCTGTGTGTGTGTGTGTGTGTGTGTGTGTGTGTGTGTGGTTACAAGATCCAATAATACGGGCAATATGCTTTGGGATTCAGATAGGTCAAGGGGAAGGGTCGTGGGTGTCGTCCAAATCTGTTTATACAACCAATATCGCCTTTATCAGGGGTGGGAAGCGAATCGTGAGGGTGTAGTCGGTCGTGGGAGAGTGACCAGGTGTGTGTGTGTGTGTGTGTGTGTGTGTGGAGAGAGAGAGAGAGTAGAGTAGAGTGAGTGGTGTTTTTTTTGTTTTTTTTTGTGAGTGGGTGATTGTGCAAAACAGCGTGGGTATTATGGTCAACAATTACAGCTTAGGCACGTCGGTGATATTGTGGTTGTGATAGTGGTAGGAGATGGTAGTGATAGTGTTATAAAATTTATCATACCTCTGGAACTTATACTCCTAAACGTTATTGAATGTAACAATGGTAAGAGTTCAGACTTCCTGGCCTTACTGTAGTGATGTACCAACTTAATTGAATGTCGTTAGAGTTTGTTACACCACATAAAAATCAACCATTACTCTGCTAGATGTACTGTATCCAAAATAATCTAAATTCGCTTGTCTGATTTCTTTTTTCTGTTTTTTTCTTTTTGGGGGAGCGGATGGCATTAATGAGACGGACTTATTTTGTGACGTGTAAAGAGGTCATATTATCCCTCCCTTGTATAGACTAAGAACCTCTGCCCTGTGAGGTGACCAACGGCACCATCCTCAGTGCCACGACCTGTGTGAACTACTCAGACGATATAAAATTGTGCTCTAATCTTGCCAATAAAGTTGTTAAGCTATACTCTAACCGTATCTTATCCCCCTCCTCCTTTACCTCACCTTCTCCTACTCCATCCCTCTTGTCCTTTTCTCCCCTCCCCACTCCATCTTCTCCTCCCTATTTTTATTTGCGCTCTTAATCATTCTTCTCCCCTTTCTCCTATACCATCTTTCTCACATCTCCGCACTTTCCATTTCCTCCTCCTCCATACAGGAAAGTCTTATCACCTCGCTCTACCTGACCCCCTCACCCACTCCACCACACCACAGGAAGCTAAGGGCACAGGAACGAGATAAATTGGACTGGATTGTGTGTGTGGTGGTGGGTGCCAGTGGGTGGGGGAGAGGGGAGGGCGGTGAAAGGAAGTTGAAAGCAAGAGAGAAGGAGGGGCGGTGAAGGCTGGAAGACAGTGAGGGGGAAAGAGAGAAGTAAGAGGGAGGAAGGGAGGGTGGATAGTGACAAGGGAGGGAAGTGCATGGCAGGTCACTGGTTAAAGTTGAGGTCTATGTGAGGGAAAAGGGGGGAGGGGTGGGGAGAAGGATGCAGGGGGGCAGTGCGAGGAAGGGAAGTTACGAGGAGGGAGAACAAGGAAGTAGATGGTGAGGGGAGTGATGGGAAGGATGGAGAAGAAGTGATAGTGAAGGATAAAAGAGAGTATAGAGGGAGAGAGATGAGAGGAAATGGAGGGTATGAAACAAAGGGAATTAAAAGGGTGTAAATAGTAGTGAGGGGAGAAATGAGATGCGTTAGATAAAGGGGGAAAGAAAATGGGAGAGATAAAGGGGTGGAGAGGAGTGAAAGTATTGGGGAGAGAAGGACAGAGAAAGAAGAGAAAACGAAAGGTAGGGAAAGAGGAAAGCACAAAGGGGGGAGATAAAGGGAGGGTTTAGACTGGACGTTATATACATTGGCAGGATATACTGAGCCTGTGGTGGTAGCTCTCTCTCTCTCTCTCTCTCTCTCTGGTAGTGTTACCATGGTGAAGTGCTCCCACCTTACCCCAGGATCACATGAACTTTAGACACCCGGAGGATGATATGAACTTTACACGCTCGTAAATGGATGGAAGTCTTTGATTCTATTTTTACATCACTTAACCTACATTATAGTAGGAAAAAAGGTACTTGTCATTTCACTCTTAACCAGTCTAATGTATTACTGTGTACTGTATTATTAAGCCTGTGCCCATAAGTTTTAAATCACCTTTATATGCATTTTCTTAACAATATAGACCAGGGGTGTCAAACTCATGGCCCACGGGCCAAAGGTGGCCCTTGGGATGGTCAGGTGTGGCCCGCGGGATGACGGTAAAATTTATCATCCCGTAAAATTATGAAAGAAATAGATATAATCATGTTTATTTAGTAAAATTATTTATAAATACTTAAGATCAGACAAACCCAAATGAGGTATTCCTGGTAAGCCAGGTAAGGCAATGTGTGAAGCTGTAAACTTCAATCCTGCAAATATGTGATATAGCACTTGTGTTGGCCCTGAAGAGGGTAACTAAAATAAGAATTGGCTCTCAAAAGGTTTTGAGTTTGACACCACTGATATAGACTTTCTTCACTTTATAAACACTTAAGTTTTCACTTTCCAAAAAAATGTCATTTGATGCCAAAAATAATCTTGACCTAACACCTTAGATTTTGGCATTTGGGGCCATGCCATGGATTTGGATCAAATTTCATAGAGGCGTTACTTTACAGGCTGATTAAGGACCTGGATTCACAATTGAAACAATTGAGTAATTAGTGTTAATTAATGACCTTTTAAATAATTAAATATACAGTATTTAGAATATTTAAGAAGTCAATTGTGCTGTGTGATATTGTTATTATTATTATTATTATTATTATTATTATTATTATTATTACAGTTAAAGAGTGTTGGCCCCAAGCTGGTGCCATTTTTCAAGACGGTAGCGATCTACTTCGTGCTCTTCATCCCGTCAGACCAGCCTTCCATCTTTGCCATGGTGATAAAGTGTCTGCCGGGTCTGTCTCTGATTGCCTTCGTTCTGCTGCACGGCATGAGCCTCGGGGAGGAGTAAGTACCGTAGACCTACCTATACAATGTTGCAGAATTATTTGGAGATATTGTAGCCATGATTTTAATGTGCTATGAAAATATGGTATGTTACTGTACTTCGAATTCTTTAAGTTTTTATGGTATAAGATTTTACATACATAGGTCCCTTGCTTTGAGTGAGGAGTCCATGCCCTGAAAATCATAATATACATATAATAAAACCTCTATTTAATGGAATATATGGTGAGGGAAGTCCATTTTGTTGAGAATCCGTTAGATGTGAGGCCCCCATCTAACGGATTATAATGGAGAGAGAAATCCATTATATGGGGGTTTCACTGTAATGTACTCTTAATTTGTCATCATTAAATATGACTATTGATATGGCAAACTACAGTACAGTGCTGCAGCCCTCGGTGACATAAAGGATTTGATATTTGAGTAATTGCTTCTCTTATAATTAATCTTGGAAATTTTTTTATTTATTTTCCAATTCTATTTACGTGTCTCCCATGTTTGTTTTGTTATGGCATTCTTTGGTATTGTTGTGTTATTCTGGATGTACTAAAGCACTTAAATACTGTACCGTAAATTAATTTTCAGTTCCGAGAGAAACATACAGTATAAACTATTGGTAAAAGTTGGGTAGGTATTTCTCCATGATTATATACTATTGATTAGTTCTTCCATAATTTTTTTTTCAGTATTATTACATAAGTCTGTAATTGCGTCTTGAGTATCAGTAGTTTGTCATTGTTTGTTTGTTTGTTTTTTTGGTACAGTTTGTTGAAGTTCATTATGGCCATATGTCTACAGTCCATTTATTTTTTGTTCTTTTCTGACTTTAATATGTTAACTTGATCTAAAGATTCTTTCCTTAAATTTGTGTTCCAGGTATGCTTACTCCAGAAGAATCTTGCTGGGACTGATCTTTTCTGTGCTGGGTGATGCACTGCTCATCTGGGAAGATTTCTTCATCCATGGCCTGGGATCGTTCCTAATTTCACAGATATTATACATCTCTGCCTTTGGCTTCCGACCGTTTAATATTTATGTTGCCACTGTCGTCTATTCTCTCACAGCCCTAGGTCAGTCAGTTTTTATTATTGTTTGTACATATTTCTGTATAAATACTGTAACACACACACACACTAACTTATGCCTTCACCTTGCATATATTGTACGTACTGTATAGAATTTAAATGCTAGCTATGGCAAAATTAATATCATTACAGTCCTGTATATCATTTTACTCCAGTTTGATATTGAGCTTCCAGGTCAGCAACTTACATAAACCGAAAACCATGGATGAGTGCATTGGCTGACCAAGTGGCCATGAAGAATAGGATCAGGGGGAATTGTTCCATTAAACTTTTTTAATCTTCAGTGTTTTTATACAGTAAAATACAGTAAACATCTTTTTAAGTTTAGCATAAACCCTGTTATTATTATTATTGTAATAATAGTATACTGTATACAGTAATGTTTGGTGCTCGGGTGGTTACTGTGTAGTACAGTATTCTTAATATGACTGCCGAGGCACTGAATGAAAGGCTACATAAGCTAGCAATACTTGGGTAACACCTTGAGGGTGAGGAAGAAAGAATCATAAAAAGATGGCAAGAGATAAGAATTTTGTACAGGTAGACCTAATATTTGGGTTAACACTTGGGCATTAAATTCATATTACTTTGTTCCATACTGGAAATGAAAAAAATAACTTAGATCATCTCATTAATTCTAATCAAAACATTTCAGGAATTTACCTTCTACTGCCAGGCACATCTGGGCTTGTGAGCTTTGGTATGCCAGTCTATGTGTTCCTCCTAATGACAATGGTGTGGCGAGCAGTGGCCAGGGTGCAACTGTTTGAAGAACTGTGGACTTGGACAAAACTGTGCTCATGTGTTGGAGGGATTCTGTTTGCTGTGTCAGATGCTGGTATTGGTTTCAATGCATTCTATTGCCTTATACCTCATTCACAGGTAAGGCTTATTTGTTTTGACCTCATGTTTATTTAAGGTTATGATCATTGATTTGTTTTGACGTAAAATTCTGTATTTATTAGTTACCCGGCAGTACTCAATTTTCTGTCAACCGTTCCGTTTTTAAGTAAAAAAATTCCTTGTTATTGGTCTATAGGTTATATTTATTATGAATAACATGTCATTTTGTAAAAATGGGGTGAGAAGTACGTACAGTAAAATGATACTTTATGCACTGTATTTTTATTTCAGGCCATCATAATGGTATCATATTATGCAGCCCAACTGGGAATCTCACTCAGTGTTGTTGATAGTAAAGCAAGCTATCTGGACTCAGTGCGGGACAACAAGATAAAGAAAGTGCAGCAGTATATGCCAAGTGACAGCGAAGATGAATCATTCATGGACAAACGAGTTACTTCATCGTGTTACTCCAGGGCTTCCCTCTGTGACTCCACAAATCTCCTCAGTCACCGACAACAGGCACATAGTCTAAGTAGTATGCAATGAGCATAGGTTTTATAATTCTTATGAGGCTTAAATATGATCCCTTCAAATTGAATTGGTGTATATGAATTTAATGTAATGTAGGTAGGGTCCCATTGGTAAAATAGCATGGTAGGTGTTGATTTATGCAGTTAAGCAAGTGTTGACTGACTTAAATTTTTCAAACAATGTGGGCAAGACCTTCAGGTTTGTATCCCCACCCATATATGTAAGTGTAATTTAGAGTAGAGCATCCTTAAAAGACAGCTCATGGTGTGACACATTTTGTCAGATCAAGTGTGTTAGTAGTACAGTATTAAGCTTCACTTCCAAATGACAAGATCTGTAGGTGTACAGGTACATAGACATGAGCACTTAAGCCCTTCTAGTTTTTTAAAGCTCTGTACTTATGACTTGAATGATTGTTGTGCTTTTTGGTCAGTTTATATCAGAATTCTTAATGCAACCACCTGCACCACAAAGTGTGTTTCATGCTCAAGAATCGATTTGGCTTAAACAGAACAAAACAATTAATTTTTCTCGTACTCTAAACCTTGTTTTCACATGGATTTTTATTTTAATTTTGGTAGCACATACAGTACAGTACTGTTTTTAGTACTGTAATTGTAATTCCCTTGAGGTACTGTACAATTAGAATTGTTTTTCTCAGTTAATAAGGCAAAGACACACTGCTATCAGTAGCCTACAAATAATTCAGGCTTTGGAATATACAAAAAGAACACAGCAACCAGAGTAGAAAGGAGGGTTAAAACAGTGGCTATAGAGGTGGTGTAATGTTTTGTTAGGGCACCACAGCTATTTTGAGGCCAATGGTTGCCATGGCTGCTGTGAAATTCCAACCTTAGTCATGCAATATTACTAAAAAACGGTTGGTCCAATATTTAGTTTTAGTTTGTTCTTTTATCCTCTTCACTATTGACTGGCTCGTTAGCCACTTGGGCAATCAGTTACGTCTCTGTTACACACTATTGGCAAGTACTGGGCATGCACCGTCTCCTGCATGTATCTGAACCTGCTCCAGTGCTTGTCAAGTCTGGTCTTGAAAGAGCTCACAATCAATGCCGTCACAACACTCTGGTAGATTGTTCCAAGAGTTCACAACTCTCACTCTGAAAAAGTATCCCCTCACAGTTTTCTGGACTTGTGGCTTCTTCAACCTTGAGCTGTGACCCCTTGTGGGGCGAGCGTCCGCCAGCTCCAGGTAAGGGCACTCAACTGAGTAGTGCCCCTTGAGATGCTCATACACCTCAATTAGGTCTTCCCTTGCCAGTCTGTAGTGTAAGCCAGGCAATTTCAGGCTCTCTAATCTCTCAGGGTAGCTGATGTGCCGTAGTGCAGGCACCAGTCTGGTGGCCCTCCTTTGGACATTTTCAATCAACTGACAGTCCCTAGCATATACGGTATGAGTTTTAAAGTTAGTTACAGTGACAATGAATTATGTTAGAATGCACTCTGAGTTTAGTGTTTTATAATTGCCTTCAGAGATTTTTGAGAATTTGTAGTTTTGGTCAATGATTATTATTTGGAAATAATCATTTAAGTACAGGGGCTACTTTTAGTACAGTATTATCAAATGTGAAAAAAAAGGGTTTTGGGTATATACAATATGTGAGAAGAGTTTTGGTTTTATTTCAAGCCATTTCATTGTTAAGATTGATTTGTTGTAGAGAAAGGTATGGTAAAACCAAGCTTGGGTTTCTCATTTTATAGAGTGTTCAAACATACTGACTTGGCGTCACTATTCATTGGTCTTAATAATGAGTTCCTCTAATACGTATTACCAAAGTTATGTACTGTAACAGTAAAAAAAAATTCAGTGCTGTAGTTGCCTGGAGAGAATGTTTAAAATTAGTTAGCAATTGTCAGTACAAGGACTCTGAGGGTTTAAATTCAGAACATTGAGAACTGTCTTTTCCCTTTTGAGTTCATCTGGAGGGGTTGTTATTATGGTATGCCATCAGTCTGTAAACTTTTCATGTTTTTAAAATCTAGTTAAAACTTACCTTTGTTTGGGTGAATTTTTTCTGAAATGTTCCTTGGATGAACATCTATAAAAAGTGTTTGCATCAGTGTCTGCCATTCCAGGTAATTGGTTAGATCTTCCGGGTCACTTGTTCTCAATAGAATTCTTCGAATTTTAATATTTGCAGAGTTGTTTGTCCATTAAAATAATAAAGTCAGACATACTCTTTAATGAGGCACTGATTGTAGACACACAGTAACTTGAAGCCTTCCACTTATCATCAGGTGGTGCTCGTATCATAGGGAACAGGTTCAGCGTTGCCAGATCTCAGGTGCAGGGAGAGTCTCAGGTTGCCATTCAGGGGTTTGTGATTGCACTGGTGTTTAGATATCCTCTCTCTGAAAAGAAAAACATAAAAAAGAATAATAATTTAAGGTTATCTACTTGACAATAAGTATAGAATTATTTTTATTGTTAATTCATAAATTTGTACATCCTTCTTGCCCTCTCTGTACAAAGCATATCTCATGGGCATTTTGTTGATACACTTGTGTCACATTTGCTCAACATCTACTTTAATCAACGGTTTTGAAGAACTTTTTCCGTACTAAAGCTGAAGCCATGTCTTGTCTGAAAATTTAGATAGAAATCTTAAAAGAGTTATATTTTTACATGGCTTAGCTTAGCCTTTCAAGAGCTTATTGATAAGTTAAAAAAAAATAGTCGATATCCAGTCAACCATTTCTCACTGTTACAGCTGGATTTGATATACAGAATCTTAGGTTTTTTCCCCACATTTGCTTGTTCTGTGTCAGGGATCTAGAGGTACCACTTAATACTCAAACAGTATAGATAATTCAACTTGAATGAGCTCTTGCAAGCCATTTCTCACAATGGTATAAAGTGACCAGAATCAAAAACAACAAAAACTCTCATTTGCTGTACGTTCAATGTAGCTGTTGTTATTTATGTGTTATGTTCCACTTCCACAAAAATAGCTTATGGTATATATTTTTATATGTATAACATTAATTAAAGTTTTATTTTACTGTCTAAATTGGCATTATAAAAATATGAAAGAGGTAAGAATACTCGCAAGAAATCAGTCTGACTAGATCTTAATTAAGACATCAAGTACCCAGAGTGAAGGAAAGAACAAGAAATTAAGGCGTTAGTGTAAATATATAAAACAACTCACAAAAGATTGTTTTATCTTTCTCCTTTTGTAGTAATGTAAATGAAAGTTAGTGTTGTATTAACAACAAATTCCATGTGAAAGTTTTTTTCTTTTTTTTTTAATCTTGATGTCCCCAATTAGTCCAACTAAAGATGCAGGAAACAATTATCTAGATGTAAAATAATTTGATGTATGTTTTGTAAGTTCTGCAATACAGAGACCAATATTAAATAAATACTGTAATGCTTAATAGCCTTGGTAGCTGAAGTATGTAAAGTAAAACAACACAAGTAGTAATCATAAAATCAGCACTGCACTATTGTTGTTATTTATAGTATGTGAGAAGAACCTTTAAACTTTGTACAGTATTACTATGAAATCTGTTTTATTTTGAGAATGATAGTTGTACAGACAGCTAGATGATGATGATCTTCCAGTTTTTAAAAAGCATCAATTTCAAATTAATTAATGGCATTTGAAGGAGAAATTATTACTCTTAGTTATGTCTTCTGCACCATAGTGGGAGAAAGCTTGCAAGGGGGAAAAAAAGACAATTATGCTAGGAATTTATACATGGTCCTCCTTTGAAAGTACAGTATAGCCAGAGTAGCTTTCATATCTTTTCAACTTTTCTCTACTGTATACGATCTTAAATTAAACATGAGGTAGGGCAACTTACCAACAATGAAGACCATGTAGTTAATGTGGAAAACTTCACTGCAGAAGTTTTAAATTTTATAATTTGATTTCTACAATAGTCATTTGTACCAAGATCTTTTATAACCCTCGTGGTGGGTGTTCATAAGTAACCAGCTGACAGTCAAATACATCAAATGACCTCATGTTAAGAGTCAGTTTAAATTGATTACAGAAAGATTAATAACTCGGACTTAATCAATAATCATACAGCCTCTGGAATACATTATATCATTCAGGAGTTGCTAAAGTTTGTCCCATCAGTTGATCACTCACTATACATGTCACAGACCTCTTCTTCCCCCAACCTTTTCAAATCCACTTTCATACCTAAATATAAAGTGAAGACCCTGCGAGTAGATGCTGGTAAAAGATTCTGAATGCAGTATCTGGCTTTAAATGTGAGACGTAATGTATAAAATGGATTGATTTTGCAGTTAAGAATCACAATATTGATGATTAGTTTTATGCTGCAATTTACTCTGTATATGTAAAATAAATAGGTTTGGTTTATATGCAATTGTTTTAAATGTCATCAATTTTACTGCATTTTTTATAAAGTGGAAAATCTACAATTATTTTTAGCGACTTTTCAATGCTTTGAAAAAGTTGCAAATTCATAATGTCTCGTGAACTTGTTCTGCTGTACCTGTCTACCGGCTTTCCTTTTGAATCATGTTGGTAATGATGAATCAAACAGAAAATTACTATTTAGAAAATTCAGAATAGGTTGGACATAATAATTTTGGCATAGAAATTCAGTGTATTGATCAGCTTGAATTTTATAAACTCTGTAAATTGTTATTCATCATTATCACCATTTTACGGCCATGATTACCTGACGGTATGGTGTCCAAGTTGCCATTTGGATAACTTGGAAGTTTTATGGCTGGATGCCCTCTCTATCATCAACCTACTTCTACAGAGCAGGAAGTAGGCATTACACAGTATGTAGAACGTCCAAGTGTCCTCTTAGTTGGCAAGACAGGGTCACAACTCCCAAAGGTAATTAGGTTTATTAAAAATTCTATAATGGTAATTAGTTCAATATATACTTATCTATGAACAAACATTACTACTTCCCTAGCAGAATTTGAACATGAACTGCTCAGACGAGGGAAGGCACTACCACCGACACCATAAATGGTTATACGTCTTTTGAACCTGACCTGCCACTCATGTCCCAGAAATTTAATCTGAACTCCATTATAGTGAACAATATAAGTTTTATCGATTGACCTGCCATTACCTGGGAAATTGTGAGTAACTTTTAATCACACTTACAGATAGGGATATAGTAACAGAGTGTAGTGCTAATCTCATGCCCTAAGGGTCACTGATTCACAGGGCACCCCCAGTTCATCCAGCTATGAATGGGTACCTACAATATGTTATAATTGTGGATGTGAAAGTAGTTGACTACAAAGGCTTAGTATACAGTGTGTTGTATCCACATTGCCACTATTGGATTTTCAGACCTATGGGACCCACTTTCACATAAATGAAAACTGTGATATAAACCTGACCAGCAGTGGCAGACTAAATTGAAATTACACCAACCATTTGTGCTTCAGTTGGTAGCGCCTTCACTTGCTGTATGAGTGGTGTGGAGTTAGAATCCTGTAGAGGCAGTTTGTGTATTTCACCTACATCATTGTTGTGTATATTGTTTTATGTTGAGGTTGTAATGAGTTACACTGTACATAACAAATGGTTATGGGAAACTGATCTACTGTATTGTATGGTAGTTCATAATCATTCACTTAAAAGTTTTTAAAATGAATGTGATTACTAATGCCATTTCATGTGGACTTTTCATTTTGAAATATGAAAATCTCAAAATTGTTGATTAGAGCTAGGGTAATGTTCAGTGTCATTGTTGTAGTGGAAGTTGGAGTACCAAAGTAATTTAATATATTTAATAACTTTTTTCTCACATTGCAAGACGTTTGAAAATACAGTACAAAGTCCCAAAACTGGTTACCTTGGGAATTTGTGGTTGCCAGTTTCTAGACAGTCCATAAATAGTCCTGATGTGAAAATGGATGTGTTAAGACCTTTTGAGAAATGGGAATGAGGTAGAGCCCGAAGCACAAAAATTAACATCACATCCTCATTGCCTTCAGTGTAAGAACATTAAATTTGTCTTAAATTTTTAATTTCTTAGAGAAGAACCAAATATGT